AGTGCAATGGTGCAATCTCGGCTCGCCGCAACCTCCACCTCCTGGGTTCAAGCAATTCTCCTGCCTCAGCCTCCCAAGTAGGTAGGACTACAGGTGTGCGCCACCATGGCCAGCTAATTTTTTTGTGTTTTTAGTAGAGAAGGGGTTTCACCATGTTGACCAGGATGGTCTCGATCTCTTGACCTGGTGTTCCACCCGCCTCGGCCTCCCAAAGTGCTGGGATTATAGGCGTGAGCCACCGTGCCTGGCCTAGATTTTTCTATTTCTACAAAAAAAATTTCATTGGGATTTTGATAGGGATTGTGTTTAATCTATAGATTGCTTTTTGTATAATTGCCAATTTAGCAATATTAAACCTTCCAATCTATGACCGTGGAATGTCTTTCCTTTTATTTATTTTTAGTTTTATTTTTGAGTCAGGATGTTGCTGCCAGGCCAGGCACAGTGGTTCACGTCTGTAATCCCAGCACTTTGGGAGGCCGAGGCAGGTGGATTATGAGGTCAAGAGATCAAGACCATTCTGGGCAACATGGTGAAACCCCATCTCTACTAAAAAAATACAAAAAAATTACCTGGGCGTGGTGATGTATGCCTGTAGTCCCAGCTGCTCGGGAGGCTGAGGCAGGAGAATCACTTGAACTTGGGAGGCGGAGGTTGCAGTGAGCCGATATCGCGTCACTGCACTCCAGCCTGGCAACAGAGCAAGACTCCGTCTCAAAACAAAAAGGATCTTGCTGCTTCACCAGGCTGGAGTGCAGTGGCCTGATCAGAGCTTACTGCAGCCTCAACCTCCCAGGCTCAAGAGATTCTCCTACTGCAGCTTCCTGAGTACTGGGACTACAGGTGCAAGCCACCATGCCCGGCTAATTTTTTTCTATTTTGTAGAGATGAAGGGCCGGGTCTCACTTTTTTCCCTAGCACTTCGGGAGGCCAAGGTGCAGACTGCCTGAGCCCAGGAATTCAAGACCCACCTAGGCAACATCGCAAAAACCATCTCTACCAAAATACAAAAATTAGGTCAGCTGCGGTGGCTCACCCCTATAATCCCAGCACTTTGGGAGGTAGATCACCTGAGGTCAGGAGTTCGAGATCAGCCTTACCAACAAGGTGAAACCCCACCTCTACTAAAAATACAAAAATTAGCTGAGCATGGTGGCAGATGACTGTAGTCTCAGCTACTAGGGAGACTGAGACAGGAGAATTGCTTGAATCTGGGAGGCGGATGTTGCAGTGACCAGAGATCATGCTACTGCACTCCAGCCTGGGTAATGGTGCAAGCAAAACTCTGCTTCAAAAACTAAATAACTAAATACATACATATATACATTAGCCCAGCATGGTGGTGCACATCTAAAGTCCCAGCTACTTGGGAAGCTGAGATGGGAGAATTGTTTGAGCCCTGGCGTGGGAGGTTGCAGTGAGCCAAGATCATGTCACTGCACTCCAGCCTCGGTGACAGAGTAAGACCCCATCTCAAAAGGTTTTTAAAAAATTGGGTAGGGCGCGGTGGTTCACGCCTATAATCCCAGCACTTTGGGAGCCACTGCACCTGGCCTTGACCATTATTTTTATTTTAGAGATTGGGGGTTCCCACTATGTTGACGAGACTGGTCTGGGACTCCTGGCATCAAGTGATCCTCCCATCTCAGTCTCCCAAAGTGCTGAGCAGTCAGGAGTTCACGACCAGCCTGGCCAGATGGTGAAACCCCATCTCTACTAAAAATACAAAATTAGCTGGGAATGGTGGCACATGCCTGTAATCTCAGCTACTCGGGAGGCTGAGGCAGAGAACTGCTTAAACCTAGGAGGTGGAGTCTGCAGTGAGCCAAGATCTCCCTGCTGCACTCCAGCCTAGGTGACAGAGCGAGACACCGTCTCAAAAAAAAATTTTTTTTTTTCTCTTTCAGCGATGTTTTGTAGTTTTCAGTGTGCAAGTTCTTTTTTTCTTTTTGTCAAGTGTATTTTGTTTGTTTGTTTTTGTTTTGAGACAGAGTCTTTCTCTGTTGCCCAGGCTGGATTGCAACATAATCTTGGCTCACTGCAACCTCTGCTTCCTGGGTTCAAGCAATTCTCCTGCATCA